GTGTGTGTGTGTGTGTGTGTGTGTGTGTGTGTGTGTGTGTGTGTGTGTGTGTGTGTGTGTGTGTGTGTGTGTGTGTGTGTGTGTGGTGTGTGTGTGTGTGTGTGTGTGTGTGTGTGTGTGTGTGTGTGTGTGTGTGTGTGTGTGTGTGTGTGTGTGTGTGTGTGTGTGTGTGTGTGTGTGTGTGTTTAACTTGGACCTCTCCAAGCAGGGATGGCACAGGAAACGGTGTGGCACCGCACGCTTGCAATAACCCATGGCGACCAGCAGGCCCCCACACCCACCCGCTAGGGGACCTTTTATTCCAACCTCAATACTGCAACCTTGGCTCACGCGCCCGCGTACTCCCAGAGGGTAGAAGACGGATATGTGTCTGGTTGATTGGCCCGGGGGGGAGGGGGGGCCACGTCGTTGGCTAGACGCGAGTCGGGCGATCGCTCGCAGCAGTGGTTGGGAGGGTTCCAGGGGCTCCCGATGTCGAGCGGAGCTGAGCCAGGAGGAAAGCCACGTTTGTTATCTTGAGGCGCGTGCGGGTTACAGGCAGGTCCGCGGAAGCGTCGGCTCGAAGGCCCCCGCGTGCGTGCCTCCCCGCGGCCGCCCAATGCCGCGCGCCGCGCTGCTGCGGTCAGGCGCGCAGGCGCCATGTCGGCGCGCACCGGCAAAGCGCCGTTGGCGCTCTCGCTCAGCTGGCTGTGGGAGGACCGTCCTGGCGAGCACGTGCCGCCCGCGCCCGCGGTCGCCCGCCCGCGCGCGGCTGCCACACGGCCGCAATCGGTGTCGCAGGCGATCAGCCTGGCTCTCAGCCCCCCGCGGCTGGCATCGCGGGCAGCCAGAACGCGGCAGGCCGACGCCCACGCTGGGCTGCCAGAGGCAGCCAACTGGGCATGGCCGCAGCCGCACGAGTTGGAAAACCGCTCGGCAACCGATCCGCCGAGGCCACAGCCTCGCGCCCCGCTTTCGTCGCGGTCGCAGCCGCGGCGGCGGTCGCCCCGGTCCCCCAGGCCCGCGCTCGCGCGCGAGGCGTCGCTGCTGACCCTGGCGCAGGCCAGCGTCGGCCAGGTGCCACCTGATTCTGTGCAGTGCTGGCGCGGGCTAGGCCTGCCCGACTCGCTATCTAGTGGCCTTCGGTCATCCCGCCACCGTGCCAGGGTCGTGGGTCAAAGGCGTCGTTGATGCCTCTCGGGGTCTCTGGGAATGCCTCTTTGTGGCCTCTCGGAAGGCAACTTGGGGGGTTATTGGGGGCATCTTGGGGCCTCTCGGAAGCCTCTTTGGGCCGTCTTGGGGGCTTCTCGGAGGCCCCAAATTTCACATCGGGTGCCCCCTCTTTGAGTGTTGAGGATCTTGAGGCGATCTCGAGTGCCGCTTGGGCCGTGTCGGACTTCCTGAGGCTCGGAAAAGCGCGAACGCGAAAATCAGTAAGCCACCTGAGGAAGATCAATGAGTTGTGCATCTTGAGGCCATCTTTGGAGCCCTCTTGGGACGTCTTGGCGGCCCCATGTGCCGTCATGGAGCCGTCTCATTGCCCTCGTAGGACCGTCTTGTGGATGTTGGGACCCTCATGGGCCACCTTCCGGCCTCTTGGACCGCGAGCCCCAAGAGCGCCCAGGAGCGCCCGAGAGCGCCCGGAACTCGAGGCCCTGGGCCTTTTGAAGAGTGATTTGCAATACTCAGCGCAGAGGACTCGCAGGGTCCTGAGGACACTCCACTCGGTGCCCGCGGCACAGTGGCGGATCTGTCGTCAAGGAACGTACCAAGGAGTTTGCGAGATACCAGGACGACTGCCGCCGCGAGAATGGTGCGCGGCACTTGCGCCAGGTCCTGCGCCTCCGGGAGCGTGCAGAGCGGCGGCGGGCCGACGCGGCCCGGTCGAAAGCGTTGCCGCCCGAAGCCGAGCTGCACCCGACGGATTCTGAGAGCCTGCCGCTCTTCGGGAGGAGGCGGCCCGTGCAGGCAGGCACGTGGAGCGCCAGCGGGGCGCGCGAGCTGTGGGAGGGGCTGCAGTCCGAGCGGGAGGACGCAGACCACCCGACCGCGGCGGGCACGCCGCAGGCCCCGGGGTCCCCCGGCCAGCCCTCGCCGGTGGGCGTGGCCGTTGTGGGCGCGGCGGGCCGACCGGTTCGGCGGGCCAACTCGCCGCGCTCGCCCAGGAGCTGGCAGCCGGACAGGTGGGCAAAGGAGCAGAAGGCACAGGCCGACGCAGCGAGGCAGAGAGACCAGATGAGCAGCCGCCTCGCCAAGCGGCTCGGCCTCGCAAAGCTCCGGCTGCAGAGCCGCCTGTTGGACTTCCGGGACCTGCCGGCCACCGAGCGGGAGCGCGCGCAGCGCGCCTTCTATGTGGGCGCGTCGGAGGGCGAAGGCGGCTCGAAGCTGAATGAGGGGGGACTCTGCGTGGCGCTGGCGGACATGGGCCTGCGCGGCGCCAGCCCCAAGGAGAGAGCCGCGGTGAGATTGGTGGTGGATGCGTTCGTGCAGCAGGCTAGCGGCCCCGGCATGATGGACTTCGTGCTCAACGTGGTGCCCCAGGTCCGCGAGGCCCTGGGGACGGCGCGGTCTGTCCAGCTAACCCAGATCTTTACGAAGCACGACTCGCGGCATCTCGATTTGCTCACGCAGCAGCAGTGCTTGCAGGCGCTGGAGATGGTGTTGGAGGACTTCGCTGGGGACGCAGACTCTGTGGAGGCTGAGAAGAGCTTCTGGGAGACCTTCGTGTGCGTAGTGCCCGACATCGTGGAGCGCACGCTGAAAAAGCTCGCTGTCAGAGAGGTCGACCTTGTTGCATTCAGGTCGATCGTGTCCGAGATGGACCAACGCCGCGGCGAGTTCCACTACGAGTTCGAGAGGCACGAGGCCAGGGTCGCTGGCCTCGACGAGACCCTGGAGGCGCGCCACTTCGGGGAGATCGGCCGCTTGCGGCGCATCTTCATGGACCACCGCAACCCCGAAGATGAGGAGGAGCCCGTGCTGCACGTCTCGAGGGCCCTGGCCGCGCTCACGAATAGCGGAGTGCTACCAGGCGTCGGGCAATTGCCAGAGGCTACGAGGAGCGCCCTTCGGCAGAAGGCGGACGGATGGCGGCAGGGCCAGGCGTTGGCGATTCAGCTGGGGAGGAGGAGGTCTTCGACGTCGGAGAGCGAGGAGCGCATAAGCTTTCACGATTTCCTGACAACCATTGCCGAGGTGCGAAAGGCTGAGGCCACCACCTCCAGGAGGGTGCTGCTGAGGGCGATGAGGGGGAGCGCCTTGGCGCGGGACCAGCCCGTTCCCCTGGAGTCTGTGGTGGGCCTGCTGGTGCAGGCCGGCCTCTGTGTTGAGAGCTGCTCCACGGTCGGGGAGGTGGCCGCGGCAGTATGGGATTGCAACCGCGAGGGCCTCGACGGCTTCTCTGTCAGGAAGCTGCTCCGGCTGCTGGCGCGGGTGCTGGAGCGCACGCGGTCCAGAGCCCGGCTCCGCGAGGAGGGTGTTTTTCCCAACCATCCTGTGATGCTGGGTCCTCGTTTTGAAGAGACAGTGCCCCGCGTTCCTTCTCCTCCTCCTCCTCCTCCTCCTCCTCCTCCTCCTCCTCCAGTCTCGCATCACCTCCTCCTCCTCCTCAAACTCCTCCTCCACCTCCTCCTCGTCCCTCCTCCTCCTCCTCGTCCCTCCTCCTCCTCCTCCTCCTCCTCCTCCTCCTCCTCCTCCTCCTCCTTCTCCCTGCTCCCATCCCTGCCTCTTCGGCACACCCATCACACGCTTCGTGGCCCCAATGCTACCGTCCACACGCGTCCACCACCTCCATTTCGACACACCCCTCACACGTTTCGTGGCCCCATAGGGAGCTCCACCCAAGGCCCCAGTGGCACCGTGCACATGCGTCCGCCACACCCATTGCAGCACACCTCTCACACGTTTCGTGGCCCCATAAGGAGCTCCACCCAAGGCCCCAATGCACCTGTCCATATTCGTCCGCCACACCCATTTCGGCACACCCCTCACACGCTTCGTAGCCCCATAGGGAGCTCCACCCAAGGCGCAGTGCCACCGTCCACATGCGTCCGCCACACCCATTGCAGCACACCTCTCAGACGCTTCATAGCCCCATACGTAGGGAGCTCCACCCAAGGTCCCAGTGCCACCGCCCACATGCGTCCGCCACACCCATTTCGGCACACCCATCACACGCTTCGTGGCCCCTTGGGGAGCTCCACACAAGGCCCCAGTGGCACCGTGCACATGCGTCCGCCACATCCAAGTTGGCACACCCTTCATACGTTTCGTGGCCCCATAAGGAGCTCCACCCAAGGCCCCAGTGCAACCGTCCACATGCGTCCGCCACACCCATTTCGGCACACCCCTCACACGCTTCGTGGCCCCATAGGGAGCTCCACCGAAGGCCCCACTGCCACCGTCCACACGCGTCCGCCACACCCATTTCGGCACACTCCTCACAAGCTTCGTGGCCCCATAGGAAGCTCCACCCAAGGCCCCAATGCCACCGTCCACGTGCGTCCGCCACACCCATTGCAGCACACCTCTCAGACGCTTCGTAGCCCCATAGGGAGCTCCACCCAAGGACCCAGTGCCACCGTCCACATGCGTCCGCCACACCCATTTCGGCTCACCCCTCACACGTTTCGTGGCCCCATGGGGAGCTCCACCCAAGGACCCAGTGCCACCGTCCACATGCGTCCGCCACACCCATTACTCCCCAGAGGCTCCGCAGAGGCTGTTCGGAAGTTGTTCGAAAGCTTTCCGAAGGCTCCCCCGATGTTCCTCAGATGCTATGCAGAGGCTCTTCAAAAGCTCTGCGCTGGCTTCGAATAGGCTCCGCAGAAGCTGTTCAGATGCCCCCCAGAGGCTTTCCAGGGGCTCTTCAGAAGACCATCGAATAGGTTCTTCAGGTGATCCCAAGAGGCTCCCCAGATGCCCCTCGCAGGCCTAGTTACCCCTGAGAGATCCCAAGGAATCCTGCTGAATCCCTCAGGTTGCTGATGCATTCAGGTGATTCCTGGAGAAACATGAGGAAGCATGGGGAATCATAAGGAATCCTGAGGAGACCAATGAACCCTTAGGAGTACGAGGATGCCCTTAGGAATCCTGGGAACAACAAAAGAATCATTTGGATTCCTGCGTCATCCTCCGGATTCCAAGAATCCGGATGAACCTTGATGAATCCTGCAGAAATTCTGGGGTGAGGAAGGAAGAGGTTTTCTTTTTTGCGCAATTCCCCTAGGCTCCCCCAGCTTCACCAAGAAGTCAAAAGGGTGCCTTAAGGAATCCGCACGGGCTCCTGCAGAGCAGGATGATGTACGCAGCCTGCAGAGCCATGCCCCGACCCCTGCCAGAATCCCCGACGGGGGGCACCGTTTAGAATTACGTTCTTCAACGAACTTTGTATGGCGCATTGTATAGTCATTAGCCTAGAGGTAACCTTTTATGCCCCCGCCTGGAAGCGATTGATTATCACGGCTACTCCGAGTCATACTCCTAGTATTACGACTACTACTTATGTTGCTACCTAGTACTAGTACTTGTACGACTACGACTACGATTACCAATAGTACTACTACTACTACTACTACTACTACTACTACTATTACTACTACTATTTCGAATAGTACGACCACTACTTCAACGATTACTACTACTACTACTACTACTACTACTACTACTACTACCACTACTACTACTACTACTACTACTACTACTACTATTACTACTACTACTACTACTACGACTACTACTATGACTACGACTACTATTATTATTACTACTACTACTACTACTATTACTACTACTACTACTACTACTACTACTACTACTACTACTACTACTACTACTACGACTACTACTACACCTACTACTACTACTGCTACTACTACTACTACTACTACTACGACTACGACTACTACTATTATTACCACCACTAACTACTACTACTACTACTACTACTCTACTATTACTACTACTAACTACTACTACTACTAACTACTACTACTACTACTACTACTATTTACTGACTAGCTACTACTACTACTAAACTACTACTACGACTACTACTACTACTAGACTACTACTACATAATACTACGACTACTACTACACTACTAACTTACTACAAATACGACTTTCCAGCACTAGTACTATTACGATACACTACTGCGACTACTACACTATAATACTAACTACTACTACTACACTACTATTACTACTACTACTAACTACAACTACTACTACTACTACTAATACTACTACTACTACTACTACTACTACTCTACTACTATAACTACGACTACTACTACTTACTACACTACTACTACACTTAACTATATTATACCTACTACTACTATACTACTACTGCCCTCTACGACTACTACTACTAACTACTACTACTACTACTACTACTACTACGACTTAAACTATTAGTTCATTGCTGCCACGATGACGGGTACTAGTGCTACTACTACTACTACTACGACTACTACTATGCGACTACAGCCACTACTACTACTACTACGACTACTACTACTATTATTACTGCTACGACTACGACTACTACCGCTACTATTACTACTACTACTATTACTACTACTACTACTACCACTACTACTACTACTGCTACTACTACTACTACTGCTACTACTACTACCACTACTACTACTACTACTACTACTACTACTACTACTACTACTCCTACTCCTACTCCTACTACTACTACTACTACTACTACTACGGCTACTACGACTACGACTACCACGACTACTACTACTACTACTACTACTACTACTACTACTACTACTACTACTTACCACTACCAGTACTACGGCTACGACTACAGCTACCAGTATTGCCATTATCATCACTATTACGAAAAACGCCTACTACTACTACTACTATTACTACTACGACTATTACCACTACCACGACTATCATACTTACTATTTCATAGTACCATACTGCTTCTAGTATTCTTACTACTACTCCGACTACTACTACTACGACTACGATCAATTTCATTGCTACGATTGCTGTTACTATATCTAGTACTACTACTGTTACTACCACTACTACTTCTACTACTACGACTAATACTACTACGACGACGACTATTATTACGACGGCTACTACTACTACTACTGTTATTACGACTACTACCACTACTATTACGATTACCCCAATCACGCGCACTACTACTCCCTACACCACTTCTATTCGTTTTTTTTAATTACACCTACTAATGCGACTGCGACTGCTACGACTACTACTACTGTTAGCACTACTACTACTACTACTACTACTACTACTACTACTACGACTACTACTACTACTACTACTACTGTTGCGACTATTACTTATACTACTACTGTTACGACCACGATTGCTACTACTACTACTACTACTACCACTACTACTGCTACTACCACTACTACTACTACTACTACTACTACTACTACTACCACGACTACTACTATTACTACTACTACTACTACTACTACGGCTACGACTACTACGGGTACTACTGCTACGACGACAATTTCTACGACGATTACTATTGCTGCGACTACTACTACTGTTACTACTACAACTACTACGACTACTACTTCTACTACTAGTACTGTTATTATCACTGCTACTACGACTACTACAACTACTACGGCTGTTTTTACAATTGTCTTTACCGTTACTACAACTATTGCGCCTACTACAACAGCCACTACTACTAACTACTACTATTCTTACTACTGTGACTACGAGTCTTTTTTTCCGAAGGCTGTTACCACCATCATGACTATTACTACGACTGCTACCACTACTATGTGTACCCTTTCTACTACTACTACTACTACTACTACTACTACTACTACTACTACTACTACTACTACTACTACTACTACTACTACCACTACCACTACTACGCTACTACTGCGGCGGCGACTATTACTACCACTATTACTTTTACTACGGCTCCTACTACGACTATTACTACGAATACCGCTAGTATTACAACAACTAGTACGACTACCACTACTACGGGCTACTACTACTACTACTACTACTACTACTACGACTACTACTAGCACTAGTTCAACTACGACTACTAGTATTGCTACGGCGACTACGGCGATTACTATTGCTACGATTGTTATGACTACTGCTATTACTACCACTACTACTGCTACTGCTACGACTACTACAACAGCCACTAGTATTACGACCACGACCGCTACTACTAGTGCTACCACGATCACCGCGATTACTACCATCACCACGGTACGACTACCACGAACATTGTTATTGTGACTACAACCACTACTACTACCACCGCCACTACTACCATTAATTCTATTACCACTGCCACTACTACCAATTCTACAACTACTACTACTACTGCTACTACTACTACTACTACTACTACTACCACTACTATTATTATTACTACTACTACTGCTACCACTACCACTACTATCTCTACCACCACCACGATTACTACTACCACTACTACTACTGATATTATTGCTACTGGTACTGCTACTACATCACTACTACTACCATACGACTACTACTACTACTACTACTACTACTACTACTACTACTACTACTTCTACTTCTACGACGGTGAACACTATTATTACTACGACTGCTACCACTACTTCAACGATTACCCCAACCACGCGTATTCCTATTACCACGACTACGACTACTACTACTACTACTGCTACTGCCATGTCTACTTCGAACACGATTAATACTAATCCTTCTACTACTACTGCTACTACTACGACTACTACTACTACTACTACTGCTACTACTACTACTACTACTACTACTACTACTAGTACTACTACTACTACTACTACTACCACTACTACTACGACCACTACCACTACTTGTACCAATACACGCACTATTACTACCACTAGTACAACTACAACTACGATTACGACTACTACTACTACTACTACTACTAATACTACGACTACTACTACTACTACTTCTGCCACTACTGCTACTACTACGACTACCACTACGGCTATTACTAATAATACTATTGCTACTACTCTACTACTACTACGACTACTACGACTACTATTACTACTACTACTACTAATACTGCTACTACTACTACTACTACTACGACTACCGCTACTACTAGTACGACCGCTACTAATACTATTACCACTACCACTCGTAGTATTACGACTACGATTGCTACGATTATTGATACTTCTACGATTACT